ATGGATGGATGGATAGTCATTAGTCATAAGGTTGAACACTTTTGTCCCCATTCTCTGTTGAAATCACTCTGCAACACTTCAGTTTATCCCTTTTCAGACATGAGATGCAGTACGTAACACTGCTGCTTTATCATTCAGTTAAAGTTATTGCTTTCAGACATATGGGACTTTTACATTATGGTCCTCCGGCTTCATGAAGATACACCCACGATAAGTGTTTGAAGGCCACAATATGCTAACCCCTGGACATAGGAACATAGCTTTACCTCTCACACTAAGGTGGCATATTTGAAACTTATTAAAGCTTCAAACACTGCTTGAGGTTTTTAGGCAGAGATATTCACTCAGTAATTGACCACCATGAACCTGTGAACAGAGTTCCCTACAGACCTCCCTCCTACATTTTATTAATTCAGAACAAGAACCAAATTCTCCTAAACTAAATAACAGTCTGCCGTTACAGGCAGCCAACTCCTTATACCTTTAGACGTTACTTTACTGAAAATGTTTTAGGAGCCAGTATATTTTGGCTCTTTGAGGAAGTTTAGTCTGAAATAAACCATAAAAGCATAACATCATAATTCCAGTGCTGGTTCCCTCTAGGTAGGGATTTCTTGCTGAAATGTGGAATTTTGCTGAACAGGCATCCCTTGTTGCATACCGCCCTTGGTAGCAGCTCTGTATCTTCTTTCCATCCCTTCCTCCCCTAAAGCTGCTGTCAATGTCTTCCTGGCCTGTCTTTTTCTATGTTTTCTCAGTTTTCTGAAACTCGGAGAAACAGCCTCCTGCAGCAACTACTGAACACCCTTCTCATTGCTGTGGTTTTTAAAGGTTATCTGTGAGTTAGGCCAGTGGTCCCCAACCGTTTTTATTACCGTGGACCGGTCAACGCTTGACAACTCTACTGCGGCCTGGGGGGGGGCGGGTTTGTACGTACATTGCTTATATTGTAAATATAATAGTAAACGTGAATCCACTGTGTACTCATATGCAACTTTATTAGCAGCTTCCTCGTAACATTGCGCCAACAACATAACATGAGTATAACATCAAAGTCTCTAGTAACATCCTCTCTGCCCCCTAAATAAATTATAAAAAAA